CGCTGAGCCTGCAAGACAAGCCTATAAGTCGTCAGCCCTAAACCCTAAACCCTAAACCCTAAACCCTAAACCCTAAACCCTAAACCCTAAACCCTAAACCCTAAACCCTAAACCCTAAACCCTAAACCCTAAACCCTACACCCTAAACCCTAAACCCTGAACCCACAGGGGGCTCCGCATTTTAGGAGCCCCTGGGGCCCACAAGAGAGCGGGAGAGCCTTCATCCGGTACTTGAAGGTTCATGGGTTGCGGGTTTGGGGTTTACAGTAGTGTTTAGGGTTTAGGGTTTAGGGTTTAGGGTTGGGACGGTGCCCCTTGTACTAACAGTCCTTAATAGGCATTATAGCAGGGGGTACTACAGCCCCTGTTCGGGGCTGTTAGTATACCATCCCAAGTTTGGGGTTTAGAGGTTTTGGTCACATGGGTTAAGAAAAAAGCCCTAAACCCTAAACCCTAAACCCTAAACCCTAAACCCTAAACCCTAAACCCTAAACCCTAAACCCTAAACCCTAAACCCTAAACCCTAAACCCTAAACCCTAAACCCTAAACCCTAAACCCTAAACCCTAAACTCTAGGAACCTTCAAGCATTGTCGCATGGTCGCACCAACGTCGAGTGTTGCCCGGGCCCACAGCGCCCACGTTCCCCAAGCTCCTTTCCTGAGAGTGACCGAGATTTAGGGTCTAGGGTTTAGGTTTAGGGTTTGGGGTTTAGGGTTTAGGGATTTTGGGTTTAGAGTTCTGTCTAGAGGTTTAGGGTTTAGGGTCTAGGGCTTAGAGGAGGGGGACCTCAACCCTGATGCCTACGAAGTAGAGGGTTTAGAGGTTTCGGGTTTAGGGTTTAGAGGTTTCGGGTTTGGAGGTTTAGAGGTTTAGAGGTTTTTGGAGGTTTTTCGAATAGGTTTTTCGAAGAGGTTTTTCGAGGTTTTTCGAGGATTTTAGAGGTTTAGAGGTTTAGAGGTTTTTAGAGGTTTTTAGAGGTTTATAGAGGTTTATAGAGGTTTATTGAGCTTTTTGGAGGTTTAGAAAGGTTGTTAGAGGTTTATGGAGGTTTATATAGGTTTATAGAGGTTTATAGAGGTTTAAAGAGGTTTATAGATGTTTATAGAGGTGTAGAGGTTTACAGGTTTTGAGGTTTAGAGGTTTGGAGGTTTGGAGGTTTGGAGGTTTGGAGGTTTGGAGGTTTGGAGGTAATCGTCAGACACACGACGTGAACAGCGCAGGTAGTGGAAGTTGAATGACGACGGGTTTCGGGTTTAGGCCTTGTGGGGCTTAGCCACATGCCCCAGTCCCCAAACCCCAAACCCTAAACCCCAAATCCCAAACTGCGCCCCAAACGCTAAACCGTAAACCCTGAACCTGTGTTTTTGAATCCTGGAATTTCAGTACCCACGGTCACTCTGAGAAGTAGGAGCCCATATTGTTTGTAGTTTGTAACTCGGCAGAGCTACCAGTCGTGCGGGTTCGGGGTTTAAGAGGTTGAAAGAGGTTGAACGCGGGTTGAACGGGGGTTGAAAGGGGTTGAAAGGGGTTGAAAGGGGTTGAAAGGGGTTGAAAGGGGTTGAAAGGGGGGGGAGGGGTGGAAAGAGGTCTAAAGGGTTTGAGGGGTTTGAAGGGTTAAAGAGTTTAAGCGTTTCAGGGTTTGAGGATTTTAGGAGTTTTAGGTATTTTGGGCCGGCACCTTCGGGTTTAGGCCTGGTGGTTCAGGGCCTGGGGCCGCTCCTATGGTTGCCCTACCGTCCTCGCGTGTCTTCTTGTGCAAATGCTAGTGCAAGGTTCAGGGGGGAGTGTTCCATGAGGGCACGATTGCTTAGTTCATGAATGTCAGAGTACAGGGTTGCCGGGGTGCAAGGTGTTCTATTACAACGTTGCTTAAGCTAAAGCCTAAACCCTAAACCCTACACCCCTAAACCCCTAAACCCCTAACCCCTAAACCCCTAACCCCTAAACCCCCTAAACCCCCTAAACCCCCTAAACCCCCTAAACCCCCTAAACCCCCTAAACCGCCTAAACCGCCTAAACCCCCTAAACCCCTAAACCCCTAAACCCCTAAACCCCTAAACCCCTAAACCCCTAAACCCCTAAACCCCTAAACCCCTAAACCCCTAAACCCCTAAACCCCTAAACCCCTAAACCCCTAAACCCCTAAACCCCTAAACCCCTAAACCTAAACCTAAACCCCTAAACCCCTAAACCCCTAAACCCCTAAACCCCTAAACCCCTAAACCCCTAAACCCCTAAACCCTAAGCCCCTGAGCCCCTAAACCCCTAAACCCCTAAACCCCTAAACCCCTAAACCCCTAAACCCCTAAACCCCTAAACCCTGAACAAACTCACCGCGCCACAAGCACGTAGTTTCAAACATAGTGCGCGAGTTCCGCGCTCGTACCCTAAGGCTGTACCCCCCTAAGCCGCAAAGATTTCTTATGATGTACTCCTTTAGGGGTTTTAGGGGTTGTAGGGGTTTTAGGCGTTTTAGGGGTTTAGGGTTTGGGGGTTAGGGCCTAACCCTAAGCCCTAAACCCCAAACGCCTAACCCTTTCTTCTCCCATCCTACCCAAGGTCGAAGTCCTAGGTCTTGGCAGGGGTGACGTGTGTCTAATTGGGTTGGGCAGAGAACTGACCACTTCGCATTGTGATTATTATTACTTTTTCTACTGTGTCTCTTTCTGTATTTTCATTGTTATTCTTCTTCTGAATTACATTTTTACTGTATGCCTTCTATGACTATTACTTTAATTGATTTTCTCAGTATCACTATCAAAAATACGATAACACACACGCATGCACACCTTACACAGGGGAGCGCGCGTTGCTTATCGGGCATACAGACGAAATTGTGCAAGGGAGAAGTGTGCTCTCTATACCCTAAACCCGAAACCCGAAACCCTAAACCCGAAACCCGAAGCCCTAAACCCTAAACCCTGAACCCTAAACCCTAAACCAGGGTTCGTTGCCGCACGGAGCTCGCCGATGCCTCAAGAAGCAGCCAAGCCAACTTGTTTGCTTCTGACGTTTGCCTGAGATTCGAACGCCTTGCACCCTCCGACCCACTCATTCTACCGCGGGTTATAGGCTTCAGGGTTGATCCGTCAAGCCCAACCCCTCCAAACCCTAAGCCTCAGCCCCAAATGGGGGTTTCCCGACATTAGTGTACCTTTCGGGTCCTTAGTATAGGGGGGTCCTACTATTTTGGGATATCCTAGGGTTCCCTAATTCTTCCCCCGAAGCCTGGAATAAGAGTTATAGGGTTCTTAAGGGAGGGGGTTTTCAAGGGTGGTATGTAACCAAAGACTCCCTAATTCTACCCTGCTACTCCCGAAGGCTCCCTAAGCTTCCCTCAGGTTCCCTAAACCCTAAACCCTAAACCCTAAACCCTAAACCCTATACCCTATACCCTAAACCCTAAACCCTAAACCCTAAAGCCTAAACCCTATACCCTAAACCCTAAACCCTAAAGCCTATACCCTAAACCCTAAACCCTAAACCCTAAGCCCTAAACCCTATACCCTAAACCCTAAACCCTAAAGCCTATTCCCTAAACCCTAAAGCCTAAAGCCTAAAGCCTAGAGCCTAAAGCCTAAACCCTAATCCCTAATCCCTAATCCCTAAACCCTAAACTCAAAACCCTCAACCTATAAACCCTCCGCCCTGCACGTCTGCTCCTGGTTCCTGTGGTCTTAGACTGGTTGAGGGGGCTGCGGCACTGGCCAGGGCTTGCGAGGTTTGGGGTTTGGGGTTTAGGGTTTAGGGTTTAGGGTTCAGCATTCTGGGCCTTCTGATCTTTGCTCTTGGGTCTGCGGCGCGGGTCTTCGGCCAACAGGCAGTGTAGATGCGTGCGCCGCGCGCGTGGGGCGCTTGGCCAGCAGATCGTGGCAAGCCCCTGCTCAAGGAAACGGCCCCCTTTCGGCTCTTCAGGGTGTTCGGGTGTTGTGATGTCAGGGTTCCAGGGTTTCAGGGTCCTAGGGTTTCAGGGCGCCAGGGTTTGAGGGCTTCAGGGTTTAGGGAGGATTTTTGGAATTTAGGGTTTCAGGTCATAGGGTCTAGGATTTATAGTCAAGTTGCAGTGATGAGCACAGCACAGGGTTCAGGGTTTAGGGTTTAGGGTTGAGGGCTTTGGTGGTCGGAACTGCGAGCAGAACTTGCCGCTTATGCCCCAGACGTGCCAGACTTACGCACACAACGCCGAAATGATGGCAGGGTGCTGAGTGTACCATAATTCCCTAAACACCTAAACCCTCCCTTAAACCCTAAACCCTAAGCCTTCAACCCTAAACCCTAAAATCTAAGCCCTAAACCCTAAACCCTAAACCCTAAACCCTACGCCCTAAGCCCTAAACCCTAAACCCTAGATCCTAGGCCCTCAGCCCTAAGCCCTAAGCTGTCTGGGAAGGCTTGCAGGCAGTTTGTTCTTTCGACGTTTCCTGGTAGTATGAAACAAGGTTTCATCGGAGTTTGCTTTGTCTGCAAATCGCTCCAAGAGGCCTCTCTGTGTGTTCTGTATGTATGTATGTATGTATGTATGTATGTATGTATATATATATATATATATTGATAGATGTATATATATATATATATCTGTGTATATATATATATATGGAAGTATCTGTCTAACTATCTATCTATCTATCTTTTTATATATGTATGTATGTATGTATGCATACATATGTTTTTTGTGTTTGTATTTAAGTTTGAAACCGCGTGACAGACGGAGAGAAACACAGACATGGGAAAGGGCCACAGTTACGAGCAATGCTCCTGTGCTAAGCACAGGGACCCTGCCAGAGCCATTGCCCATGAATAAAACCCCAAACCAGCTGAGCCTGATCTGGCCTAAATCCCTATACTCTAAACCCTGAACCCTAAACCCTGAACCCTGAACCCTAAACCTAAACCCTAAACCCTAAACCCTAAACCCTAAACCCTAAACCCTAAACCCTAAACCCTAAACCCTAAACCCTAAACCCTAAACCCTAAACTTCTAGAATCCCGCTTGGCAAGGAACAGCAGTGCCGCAGGCTCCAGGAGCAGCTTGCCCAAAGCGCTTCAAGGTGCCAGATTCCCGGGATCACCCTCTTCAAGAAACTTGAGTACACGCCCCCAGGATCATGTTGAGGGGCCAGGGTTTAGGGTTTAGTTTTCAGGATTTCGGGTTTAGGGTTTAGGGCTTGGAGTTTTGGGGGGTAGGGTTTAGGGTTTAGGGTTTAGGGTTTAGGGTTTCGGGTTTAGGATTTAGGGTTTAGGGTTTAGGGTTTAGGCTCTAGGGCATATGGAACTTGGGACTTGGGTTCCAAGTTCCCTCTACACCTTCCTCAAGGGCTTTCCTGGTCGAGGGATGTGGCGCTTAATTTCCCATAAATTTCGCATTAAGAACTTGAGAGCCAGCAAAACCCTAAACCCTAAACCCTAAACCCTAAACCCTAAACCCTGAACCCTGAACCCTGAACCCCAAACCCTAAACCCTCTACTGAGCCAGGCTGGATGCCGATCGCCTCATGTGGCGAAAACAGGCGGATGAGGTCCCCGGGGGTTTAGGGGTTTTGGGGTTTAGGGTTTAGGGTTTATGGTTTAGGGTTTAGGGTGAGGCTGATCTTGCTTGGAGGTTCAGGGTAAACTAGGAATACTCCTTTACAGTAATTAAGACGTATGTGAAGGACGATGAAGGCTCTGTTAAGCATACAGCCGCCCTAGAACCCTCCCTTTAATCACAGAGGTAAACAAGCCCTCTCCCCTAAAGGGTACCCCCAAAATACTCTCCTTTCTTAGGGTGTAGGGTTTAGGGTTATTTAGGGTTTAGGGTTTAGGGTTTAGGGTTTAGGGTTTAGAGTTTAGGGTTTAGGGTTTAGGGTTTAGGGTTTAGGGTTTAGGGTTTAGGGTTTAGGGAATGGTGCCCTTTTGGGGGGAGGCTTGGGGCCCCCTCTGACTTAAGCACTCATGAACCTTCACTTCGAGGTTTACAACTGTACTTGTACCCCACTTCTAAGCCCCTTAATGTTGGGTTACTAAACCCTAAACCCTAAACCCTAAACCCTAAACCCTAAACCCTAAACCCTAAACCCTAAACCCTAAACCCTAAACCCTAAACCCTAAACCCTAAACCCTAAACCCTAAATTCTAAGTACACATACTAACCCTCAACACCCCAGACCCGGCACTTGAAACCCTGTCAAAACCACGAGAAACCCTTGACGGTTTAGGTTTCAGGGTTCAGGGTTCAGGGGTTAGGGTTTAGGGTTTAGGGTTAGGGTTTAGGGTTTAGGGTTTAGGGTTTAGGGTTTAGGGTTTAGGGTTTAGGGTTTAGGGTTTAGGGTTTAGGGTTTAGGGTTTAGGGTTTAGGGTTTAGGGTTTAGGGTTTAGGGCTTAGGGTTTAGGGTTTAGGGTTTGGGGACGCAGCACCGCGGACAGCTTGAATCAGCCGCTCATGTCGTGCGGGGACGGTGCTGCTAAACCTTCAACCCTCAAGTAGACCCCTAGACCCCTAGACCCCTAGACCCCTAGACCCCTAGACCCCTAGACCCCTAGACCCCTAGACCCCTAGACCCCTAGACTACTGGACTCCTAGACCCCTAAACCCCTAAACCTGTAAACCCTTAAACCCCTAAACCCCCAAACCCCAAACCCCAAACCCCTAAAAACCCCTAAAACCCTAAACCCCAACACCCTAAGCCCAAAGCCCTAAACCCGTCAAAACCGTGCCAAGCTTGCGGTTTGCCAGTTTGTCGTTGCCAAGTGCGCTTCTGCTGTCCATACTCGATTGAGTTTGCCACTCTCAAGCGGCGCTGTTTAGGGTTTAGGGTCTAGGGTTTAGGGTTTAGGGTGCAGTGGACATCATTGGACATTGTGCCAGTTTTGTTGAGATGTATATCTTCGTTGGTCTTGTTCATAGGGCAGAGCTGGCAGAAAGTTCAGTGGATTTCCCTGAGCGTACTACCTTGCAGCATGTGATCTCAAAGGGAGCCACGCTTCAACTGCGAAAGGCCAAGCACGTAAGGTACGCTTTCATGCAGATCTGGCCCTAAACCCTAAACCCTAAACCCTAAACCCTAAGCCCTAAACCCTAAACCCTAAACCCTAAACCCTAAACCCTAAACCCTAAACCCTAAACCCTAAACCCTAAACCCTAAACCCTAAACCCTAAACCCTAAACCCTAAACCCTAAACCCTAAACCCCAGGTGCACGCCGAGCTGCTCAAGGCGGAGCAGCAGAAGCACGACGCGGCGCCGCTGCCCCATCGTGCGCGCTGACGTGCTCAAAGGGTTCAGGGTCCAGGGGCCTGAAGAATTAGAATAGGGTTTTGGGGGATATTCTTATAGTATAATTACAAAGGGACCATAAGAGAATATTGTTAGTAATTATATGATTATAGTATAAGTACAAAGGGACCATAAGAGAATATTGTCAGTAATTATTCCAACCCCTGTATTGGGGCTTGGCTCAAGGATGAGCAGGTAAAGAAGACGTCTCCGCAACAGCCTTTACCCATAGGAAGTGTGGTGTTTGTTCAAAGGGTTTAGGGTTTAGGGTTTAGGGGATTTTAACAATTCTATTTGCGTTGGTATTCTAAGGGGAGTCCAGTTACCTTTTTTCTCCCTGGTTCTCGGTTGGTAATGAGGAAATTAGGTACTTTATGCCCCCCCCCCCCCCTTATACCCTTCAAGGGATTGTAAAGGGATATAGGGCCCCCTATACCCTTTAAGGGAGTATAAGGGAGACAGGCCTGTACCCCTTTAAGGGATTGTAAGGGGAGATAGGGCCCTATACGCTTTAAGGAATGATAAGGGAGATAGGGCCCTATACCCTTTAGGGATTAGAAGGCATCGCCATCGCAGGTGTCGCAAGGACAAGCACTGGGCAGCTCATGTGATCTTATGCCTTTTAGGAGTTTAGGGTCTAGGGGTTTAGGGTTTAGGGTTAAGGGTTTAGGGTTTAGGGTTTAAGGGGTTCAGGGGTTTAGGGGTTTAGGGGTTTAGGGGTTTAGGGTTTAGGGGGTGATATCGTGTCTTGCTCTCGGCTTTTTCCTTTGATCATGAGAGTCTTACGAAAAGCGTCAGCCTTACAGGAAAATGTGACGCTTTTCAACTGGGTTTCATTCTGTTGAGAACTTTCGCGCGCCACTTGACTACGTTTGTTCCCTGCAAAGCTCACAAAAGACGTTACGTTGGCGCGAAAAGAGGCATTCATGTCAGTGAAGTTGCGCGTGCAACGCGCGAACTCAAAAAGTACGACTGTGTGTTCTGTGTGGAATTCACTGAGTTTGCAGTCAGAGACTCATGATACATGCGTCTCACTCGTTCACTGAGTTCGTTCATTTCTCGCTCATTTCCAAGTCTATGAACCATCAACTGTCGTCAGTTTCCGCGGGCTTTTCGGAGTTCGCTTGGCGAGTTACGCACGCAGGGAACTCCACAAAAACCAAGCAGAGAATTGAGACATGAGCCAAGATCTGATGAAATGTGCTCATTTCGTGCGCTACTCTCTTCGTGCTGGCAATTATCATTTTGCTTTTTGGTTCGGGGCTTTTTGCCTGATGTTTAGCAGAGTTGGTTTAGGGTTTAGGGTTTAGGGTTTAGGGTTTAGGGTTTAGGGTTTAGGGTTTAGGGTTTAGGGTTTAGGGTTTAGGGTTTAGGGTTTAGGGTTCAGGGTTTAGGGTTCAGGGTTTAGGGTTTAGGGTTTAGAAGCTCATATGCAAAACATCGGGCCGTCACTTCGCTCCTTGGAAGCGAATTGTGTCAAGATATGGGGGGTTTCCGAAATCAAGGGGACATTGGGGTTTAGGGTTTTAGGGTTTTGGGGTTTTAGGGTTTTAGGGTTTTAGGGTTTAGGGTTTTAGGGTTTTGGGGTTTTGGGGTTTTGGGGTTTTGGGGTTTTAGGGTTTTAGGGGTTTAGGGGTTAGGGGTTTAGGGTTTAGGGTTCAGGGTTTAGGGGAATCTGTGTTAAGGACTGTTAGTACTAGTATAAAGGGGGAACATCCCAAGCTAGTTCTCGGTCCCTGCTGGGGTCAGCATATTGCAAGGGTGCCGTACGAATATGACCCAAAAAGGGACCCCGAATTTAGAGAAGTGGAAACAAAGATTGGAAGAAAGGCCGCTAAACCCTAAACCCTAAACCCTAAGCCCTAAGCCCTAAGCCCTAAGCCCTAAGCCCTAAGCCCTAAGCCCTAAGCCCTAAACCCTAAACCCTAAACCCTAAACCCTAAGCCCTAAACCCTAAACCCTAAACCCTAAACCCGAAATTTGGGCTGGAGGCTTCTGGCCCAAGCCGAGGAGCACAAGAGGCGGGACAACCAAACGAGCCAAGCCCTACACCTTTAACACCAAAATCTTAAACCCTAAACCCAAAACCCTAGCCCTAAACCCGAAACCCTAAACCCTAAACCCTAAACCCTAAAACCCTAAACACTAAACCCTAAGCTCTGTGAGCTCCCCTGGGGTGATTCCAAGTCAGGGCCTCGATTCATCAACGGGATTTGTCAGGGAGTCTTGGATTCAAGGAGACACAGTTGCCCTAAACCCTAACCCTAAACCCTAAACCCTAAACCCTAAACCCTAAATCCTAAACCCCAAACCCCAAGCCCGAACCCTAAACCCTAAACCCTAAACCCCAAACCCCAAACCCTGGACCCTAAGCCCTCAACCCTGCTCACAGACCTCTATGTTTCCGCAAAGCTTAATGGCAGCTGTTCGCTTGCGGATGGTGGACCCTGAAGCTTACGCACCCATGCCGAACACCGCTATTACGTCTGAGACCCCGAAGCTCCAGTTTTTTGGTTTAGGGTTTATGGTTTAGGGTTTAGGGTTTAGGGTTTAGGGTTTAGGGTTTAGGGTTTGCCCTGCCAACCCGCACCCCAAAAAGAGCAACTGCCAGCAAACTTCTGAAGAACTCCAGATGTAAGACATAAACCCTAAACCGGCAACCCTAAATCCGAAACCCTAAGCCCTCAACCCTCAACCCTATAAGCCCTAAGCCCTAAGCCCTAAACCGTAAACCCTAAACCCTAAACCCTAAACCCTAAACCCTAAACCCTAAAGCCTCAACCCGCCCTAAACCCTACGATGCCAAATGCCAGGAACCAGCAGCGCCTCCTGGCCGAACGGAAAAGAAATTTGATGAAGGCTTTGTCCAGCCCTCAACCCTCAACGGTGTAACCTAAATTGGGTGTAGGTCTTAGGCTTCTCAAGATATCTCCAAGCTAATAAGGGTTTAGGGTTCGGGGTCATGGCTTAGGGTTCAGGGTTCAGGGCTTCGGGTTCAGGGTTAAGGGGCCCTCTAACAAATCAGGATCTATAGGCCTCGGGCCCCATCTCGCAGTTGCTAACTTTCGGGTGTCGGGTGTAGGGAGAAATAGGGTTTAGGGCAGAGCTATATGATGTATGGCCTGCATTGCTGTTATGGGCGTGCGTTTTTTCTGCGAAGGGTTGCTTTCTCAAATGGGTGTGTGTGTACACATATATATATATATATGTATACGTGTCTGTGGAATGTCATTTTGGCGCGAATCGTACAAATGACCCCGGACCCCGTTCGTCCCGAAGCTTTCATGCTTTTGAGCACCGCCTGTTAAAACATTTCGCCAAACCCTAAACCCTAAATCTAACGGGCTGGCGCCCACAGCCGGGCACGCCCACCAGCAGCAGGACAACGGCAGCAAGCACAGCAGCAGCAACAACAACAACAACAACAACAACAACAACAACAACAACAACAACAACAACACAAACACCGTGGAGGTGTTCATGTTCAGAAACACCGTGGAGGTGCATGGCCACACTGTGGAAGTGTGCATGTACAGTTTTCACGTTCGCAAACACCGTGGAGGTGTTCATGTTCAGAAACACCGTGGAGGTGCATGGCCACACTGTGGAAGTGTGCATGTACAGCTTGCACGTTCGCAAACACCGTGGAGGTGTTCATGTGCATGATCGTCAGCACCTTACTCAGCCAACAACAACAACAACAGCAACAACAACAACAACAACAACAACAACAACAACAACAACAACAACGCAAACACCGTGGAGGTGTTCATGTTCAGAAACACCGTGGAGGTGCATGGCCACACTGTGGAAGTGTGCATGTACAGTTTTCACGTTCGCAAACACCGTGGAGGTGTTCATGTTCAGAAACACCGTGGAGGTGCATGGCCACACTGTGGAATTGTGCATGTACAGTTTTCACGTTCGCAAACACCGTGGAGGTGTTCATGTGCATGATCGTCAGCACCTTACTCAGCCAATAGTTGAACATTAGACGCGCGGGCGCGCGTGCGCGCGCGCGTGTGCGCGCATGTCGAGTGCCATGTCATGGAGTTATGCCAGCATCCTTCGAAATCCTGCCGCCCGAAACCCTTTCCGGAGCCGCTGATGCTGCTGATGCTCGCCCCCCGGGTCCCCAAAGAGAAACGAAGCCTCGATGATGCGCACCCTGGCCCCCAACAACAAACAACGGCGCGGGCGGGCATGTATGGCGCCCTTTAAAGTCAGCTGAAAGAGCCATGGGACCAGGGTCCAGGGGCATGGGGTCATGGGAGCATGGACCCTGAGGCCAAGAGCTACGGGACCATGAGGCCAGGAGCCATGGGTCCATGGGATCCATGGGGGTCGAGGCACATGGGGCCAGGGGAGCCCATGGGCGGGGTGGGCGGAGCGGGCGGAGTCATGGCCCAGATGGGGCCGTGCGGCCTGAAGGCGGGGCAGTCAGCTAGCTGATAGAACTTCCAGGTGCCTGGGGCCAGACCATGGGGCCAGGAGCCATGGGTCCATGGCAGCCCTTTAAAGTCAGCTGAAAGAGCTAGAGCTACGGGGCCAGGAGCCATGGGTCCATGGGCCATGGGGCCAGGGAAGCCATGGGCGCGCGCGGGAACTGGTGCGTTTTCCGCGCGCGCGCGCGCGTGCGCGCGCATGTCGAGTGCCATGTTATGGAGTTATGCCAGCATCCTTCGAAATCCTGCCGCCCGAAACCCTTTCCGGAGCCACTGATGCTGCTGATGCTCGCCCCCCGGTTTTTTAAAGAGAAACGAAGCCTCGATGATGCGCGCCCTGGCCCCCCGCCCGGCCGCGCATCATGAGCATCAGCGGCTCCGGCCTCCAGGCATGCGTGGCTTATAGGGGCATATGCCGGCCTCAAAACGGAAATGTCCGTAACAGCACGAAAACCACGGTATTTACAGCGATTTCTGTGTTTTCCAAGCTCTCAGCCGCATCCGAAACCCAAAACCCAACCCGCTGATGCTCATGATGCCCGCTCTTGTGGGGTCCTTTGGGGTGGCCAATGCCACCCAAAAAACATCAACAACGCGTGTTTGGCCAAAGTTGAAAAAGAGAGTCGATGATGCTCTCCGGGGTCGTTTTTGGGACCCCCCATGGGGCACCCAAAAAATGCGTCCTGGAGCCCAAATTCGGTGGGAAATAGCGCGTTTTTCGCGATAAAAAATGTACCTGAAACATGATGCCCTTCGGGAGCCGCATTTGGAGCCGGATGTTGGGGAGCCAACCGGGTCAGCGGCTTAACCCCCCCCCGCTATAGCTAAAGCTAGGGCTGGCGCCTAACGGCGTCGGACCACGGGCGTGCCCGGATTTAAGAGCCTCCGGCTCAAGCCGCCGACCCCGCTGGAGCATAGTTGAAAGGTTTAAACGCGCTCGTCAGCTCAAAGGATGCCAAAAGTTGATTTGCTTGAGCCTCTGTGAAACGTTGGGGGGGGGGGTAGGGGGGGGGGTAGGGGGGGGGGTAAGGGGGGGGGTAGGGGTGGGGGTAGGGGGGGGGGGGGGTAGGGGGGGGGCGGACGACCACTCCAACGATGGCAACGACGACGGCAACACCACTACTACTGCTACTTTGTCGACGACATACAACACCACTCCTGAAAATCCTACGACAACAACAACAACCACCACCACCACAACAACAACAACAACAACAACGACAACAACAATAACAACAACAACAACAACAACAACAACAACAAGAGGGAGGTTTTCACCTCCTTTTCCCATCCAACACGCTGCCAGGGTCGGCGGACCCTAAACCCTAAACCCTAAACCCTAAACCCTAAACCCTAAACCCGAAACCCGAAACCCTAAACCCTAAACCCTAAACCCTAAACCCTAAACTCCTTCACAGCTTGAAACTCCAAATCTTGAGCACGAAGTCGTCGGTCTTTCTCATTCTCCGGAACTTTTTAAGCTCTCAAGCTTGAGAATATCAACCACCCCTGAACCCTAAACCCTAAAGCCTAAACCCTAAACCCTAATCCTAAACTTACACATAGATTCGAAATTGACAAAGCAATTACGGTACATCAAGCAATTTAAGCTTTTCGTTTCTCCCTTGTTTCGTACTATTTGCTTCAGAACCCCCTAAAAAGGAAAAACACACAATCCCCTTATTACCCTTAAATGTGCCAGCATTGGCGCACCCCCCCGCCCCCACCCATGGTATCCCCCCCCCCCCCCCCACCCGTGGTTGGAATTAGGGTTTCGGGTTTAGGGTTTCGGGTTTAGGGTTAGGGTTTCGGGTTTCGGGTTTAGGGTTCAGGGTTTAGAGTTTAGGGTTTAGGGTTTGGGGTCTGGGGTTTGGGGTTTGGGGGGGGGGGGAGCCATGGGGGGGGTGGGGTCGAGTACGCAGAGCGCGGGCGCAGAGAAGAATAGTTGCGTTTTTTTGGGGATTCTTAACCAAACAGTAGTTTGGGGGTATCCAGGTTGCATTGACTAAGCCCTAAACCCGAACCCCCAAGCCCTCTGAAACCGCCCCGAAACATCTGGGGTTTCCGCAATTCGGGGTACCTCATTGGGGTCCTTACTATAAGGGGGTCCTACTATTTGGGGATCTATCTTCTCTCAAGCCTAAACCCAAAACCCTAAACCTTAAACCCTAAACCGGACAACCCTAATATTTTCGTAAACCCCCAACTGGAGCCGCGCCCGAAGGCCAACGAGTCACGGGCAAAGGCGCACGAGCTGCGCAAGAGAGTCGTCTGCCAAGCACAATCCCACAGAGCCGGGGATTGAGTTTAGGGTTGGGGTTTAAGGGTTTCGGGTTTAGGGTTGAGGGTTTAGGGTTGAGGGTTTAGGGTTTAGGGTCGCATACCTGCATTAGAGGGTTCTGAAGTATGGGCCGTTGGGTTTTTAGGGCACATAAGGGGCATATAAGGGGTCCCCATTGAAGGGCCCGTACGAAGGGACCACGCAACTACCCTAAGACAGCATAAACCTTCAACCCTGTTAAGCCCGATGTACGGGGGTTTAGGTTGGGATGTTCCCCCCTATACTAACAGTCCTTAATCGGGATTGTAGTACCCCCTATTCTGATCCCTCTTAAGATCTGTTACTATAAGGGGGCCTAAACCCTAAACCCTAAACCCTAAACCCTAAACCCTAAACCCTAAACCCTAAACCCTAAACCCTAAACCCTTAACCCTTAACCCTAAACCCTAAACCCTAAACCCTAAACCCTTAACCCTTAACCCTAAACCCTAAACGCTACACCCTCAACCCTAAACCCTAAACCTCCTAAACCCTAAACCCTAAACCCTATAAACCCGAAACGCTAAAAGGGCGTGGGTTCAGAGCTTTAGCTCAGGGCGACTGAGCTCGGTGGTGCTTGCTCCGCAAGCTTCATCAGGCTCTGTGCCGTTCGAAACCCTAGACCCCAAACCCTAAACCCTAAACCCTAAACCCTAAACCCTAAACCCTAAACCCTAAACCCTAAACCCTAAACCCTAAACCCTAAACCCTAAACCCTGAACCCTGAACCCTAAACCCTAAACCCTGAACCCTAAACTTTGAAACCCTAAACCCCCGCTTCCCTGTCATGATGAGGTGTCGCAACTGCACACGGAAAAGGCCACGGCCATCCGAGTGTCGCTCCCGGCGCGCTTACGTGACCTGAACGGTCGACAGTCTTTCCACCGTTTAGGGTTTAGGGTTTAGGGTTTAGGGCTTAGGGCTTAGGGTTATAGGGACCCAAACCCCGGGGAGGATCCAAAAAGCAGAGCCCCCAAATAAAACCCTACATTACTACTGGGTCATCTTCAGCAACCCTTACATAAGGGCATCTACTTCTTGGATCCTTCCAGGGGTCTGGGTAGGTCAAGGGTTTCCGGAGAGCCCTCAGTATAAACGAGAAGGGCTACTAAAAGGTTCATGGTACCTTAGTAACCAATTATAACTGTATCTATAATATTCCTTATAACTTATAACCATATTAGGGCACTTAAGGGGCTCATAAGTGGGTTATGAGTTGTCAACAAGTACCATGAACCTCCAAGTAGGGTTCAGGGTCGAGGCCCAGTGTAACAACCTAAGCCCGAACCCTGGGCCCTAAACCCTAAACCCCAAACCCGAAACCCTAAACCCTAAACCCTAAACCCTAATCCCTAAACCCTGAACCCAGAACCCTAAACCCTAAACCCTAAACCCTAAACCCTAACCCCTAAACCCTAAACCCTAAACCCTAAACCCTAAACCCTAGGGTTAACCCTAAACCCTAAACCCTAAACCCTAAACCCGCAGCTGGCTCAGATCACAAAGTCATCATGTAGAAGTTACCCAGAGAGGAGCTGGGGGGAAGAAATGGGCTGCGTTGCCAGCGTGAAGGCGATGCAGAGCCAGGAGTTCGGTTGCATGTTCGGGTTTCGGGTTTAGGGTTTAGGGTTTAGGGGTTTAGGGTTTAGGGTGTAGGGTGTAGGGCATGGGGCGTGAGAGTATATGTTGGGAATACGGCGTATGTAATCAAAGCCTGGCTATATAATGTCTGTCCTCTGCTGTGCTCTTTGAGGGTGTAGGCTTTGGGTTTGCTGAGGGTTTTGGTTTCGGGTTTTACATCCTGAGAGTGCAGTCGTCATCATGTGTCACCTTGCCAGCCTCGCAGCCACGTTTAGGGATTCGGGATTTGGGTTTAGGGTCCAGGGTTTAGGGCTTAGGGTAGCTGCCACGATCTTGATTTCCTACAGTGTCGGGTTCAGGGTTAGGAGTTTCGGGAGTTTGATTAGGGAGTTCTAGGGAGTTTAGCGAGTTGAGGAAGTTCAGGGGGTCTAACCCTAAACCCTAAACCCTAATAGGGAGTTGAGGGTTTAAGGGTCCAGCGTTCTGGGTTTGGGAACCGTTAAGGGTATCTACCCAAAACCCTAAACCCTAAATCCCAAACCCCAAACCCCGAACCCCAAACCCTAAACCCTAAACCCTAAACCCCAAACCCTAAACCCTAAACCCTGTACTACTATCGATTCTTAGGAACCCTTAAGGGGATCTACTTTTCGGATCCTTCCAGGGGTCTGGGAGGCTGGGACCCAGGCTCCGAACGGCGGCCGAAACCCCGTGTGAAGGATGGCCCGGCCTGGAAGTGGGTTTAGGGTTTAGGGTTTAGGGTTGAGGGTTGAGGGTTGAGGGTTGAGGGTTTGGGGTTTAGGGTTTAGGGTTTAGGGTGTATAGAAGAGAAGCTCGCTGGTGCTAAAAGCACCCGGGCTGCTCGCTTGCGTTAGCATGTAGTCCCACCCCAACCACCCAAGCTATTCTCATTTAGGGTTTAGGGTTCACCCCCCCCACCCCCCAAACCCCCCCTCAAGGGGGCTTTCGTGCTTTTTACAGGGAAGAGCAGGGTGGGGCCTCCCGAGATTTGTGGAGCCCGTTACATCCGGGCACATGCTGGAACTCGGGGCTTCATGCAGCCTTAAGGGCAGCAAAACGGCAGGGGGTAGCAGGGGCCTCGGCCGGCCCCTGCTTCAAACGGTAGGGGGTAGCGGGGGCCTCGGCCGGCCCCTGCTTCCAACTGCATGTCAGGTTTTCGGGGTTTTGGCCAGGGGTGCGAATTCTCATCGCAAAGGCGGCTCCAGGCGTCCCAGAAAGGTAGGTTTGAGGAGGGTCCCAGATTGCCAGGCGGGCCCTGGACCCGCGCAGAAGGGGGGGGGGCCTGGAATCTGCCAGCGCGGGGACCCCCTAAAAAAACCAAAATGACCTCAACGGTGCGGGATTTGGGGTCCTAATTAGGGCTTACGCCCTAAGTCTGTGGCGTAGCCAGGCACTGCAGGTCCCTTCTACCGGGAGGCTCGGTCGAAGCCTCGAGCGCCCATGTAGATGGACAGCGGCGCTCTCGGCAGTTTATGGTTTAGGGTCTAGGGTCTAGGGATTAGGGTTTAGGGTTTAGGGTTTAAAGCTCTATGAAGACCAAATTGTGCGTTTTTTCGGGGTTGATTCCCATAAAGTTCAACCCTTCAGGGAGCCGCTCCTGAGACAGGTAGCAGATGAGCAGCCCGCCCGCAGCACAAGCTGTAAGAGCTTTGGCTGCAGGGAGAGCGAGGCCCAACCCGAACCCCTAAATCCTCAGATTTGAATCCCTGCGCAGCGAGCTACCCTGAAACCATAACGGATCAAAGGTTTAGGGTTTAGGGTTTAGGGTTTAGGGTTCAGGGTTTAGGGTTTAGGGTTTAGGGTTTAGGGTCTAGGGAAAGCTTCAAATCTTGAATCCCAAACCCGCCAAACCCAAAGCCTAGGGACCAACTCTCGAAATTGTGCTCCGCTTCTGCGGTGTATAATGGAGGAGCCTAAGTAATGACCAATATTATCCCCTTGGAATCCCTATGCCCTTCACGGTCCTTATGCCCTAAGCCCTGAACCCTATAAGCCCTAAAACCCTGAGCCCCAAACCCTAGAAACTTTGCAAGCCCTACAAACCCTGCAAACCCTACAAACTTGGGGGGGCGCTCTACCATGCTTTTGGCGTCTCTGCTGTGCCGAGTTTTCATGGCATATGGCTGGCACCGATACGCTTCTGATACGCTTTGGGGCTAGTACCGATACGCTTCTGATACGCTCCTTTTGCTTGTCGCTGACAGGCCGTTCGGCGTATCAGTTGGGCGTATCAGTAGCGTATCAGTCGCCACCGTTCGGCGTATCAGTAGCCACCGTTGAGGCCCGGGAGGCGTATCAGGACAGGCCCGGGGGGCGTATCAGGAGAGGCCCGGCGGGTGTATCAGAGGAGGCCCGTCCATTTCTGATACGCCCGCCGGGCCTCTCCTGATACGCCCCCCGGGCCTCTCCTGATACGCCTCCCGGGCCTGCTCTCCTGAAACTATCAGTCGCCACCGTTCAGCGTATCAGTAGCCACCGTCGGGCGTATCAGTAGCGTATCAGTAGCTACCGTTGGTCGTATCAGCAGCCATCGTTTCAGCGTATCAGTAGCCGCCCGGCAGGCCACGTAATCACCACAGCAAGGCATGGTAGAGCGACCCCCCTACTACAAACCCTACAAACCCTGCAAACCCTACAAACCCTGCAAACCCTACAAACCCTACAAACCCTACAAACCCTACAAACCCTGCAAACCCTACAAACCCTGCAAACCCTACAAACCCCACAAACCCTACAAACCCTACAAACCCTACAAACCTTACAAACCCTACAAACCCTACAAACCCTACAAACCCTCCAAACCCTACAAACCCTACAAACCCCACAAACCCTAAACCCTAAACCCTAAACCCAAAACCCTAAACCCTAAACCCTAAGCTGCCACGCTCTCTCAGGACCACACGGAGCGGACACTCCTTGAACTTCAACGCTGTGATGGCAACCACCCTCAGGACCTTTTTGCCACCCTAAACCCTAAACCCTAAACCCTACGCCATAAACCCGAAACCCGAAACCCTAAACCCTAAACCCTAAACCCCAAAACCCTAAACCCTAAACCCTAAACCCTAAACCCTAAACCCTAAACCCTACGCCCTAAACCCTAAACCCTAAATAAACCCTAAACCCTAAACCCTGAACCCTGAACCCTAAACCCTAAACCCTAAACCCTAAACCCTAAACCCTAAACCCTAAACCCTGAACCCTAAACCCTAAACCCTCATCCCCGCAATCAGAAAGTCCTCCTGCAGTTACCAGGAATGGCCTGGCAAAAGATGGCAAAGGCCGAAAGAAGAGCCAGTCGAAGGCCCCACCTGTTGCAGGGTTTAGGGTTTAGGGTTTAGGGTTTAGGGTTTAGGGTTTAGGGTTTAGGGGGAAGGATTTAGGATTTTGGGATAGAGGAGGGTTTTGCGGGTTTTGCAGGGTTTGGAGGGTTTAGAGGGTTTAGGGGATGAGGGTTTATTTAGAAAATTACGTACGTAGGGTTTAGAATTTTGGGTCTAGAGGGCTGAGGGTTTTTGGAAGTGGGGTTTGGATGGTTTAGCGTTGAGAAATTTGGGTTTAGAGAGGTTTGAAGGCTTGGGGTTAGGATTAGAGTTTCGAGGGCTTGGGGAAGTCGTGGTTTAGGATTTAGGGTTTTCAGGCTTTCGGATTAGGGTTCAGAGGGTTCAGGGTTTAGAGGGTTTGGGGGTTTAGAGGGTTTATGGTTTAGGGTTTAGAGGCTTTGTGGTTTCGGATTTGGGTTCAGAGAATTATTGGTTTTTGATTTAGGGTTTAGAGGGTTTATGGTGCAGGATCAGGGCTGAGAGGGTCGTCTAGGGTTGAGGGTTGAGAGGGTTTTTGGAGAGTGTTTTGGGGTTTGGGGTTTTGGTTTAGGGTTTAGGGTTTAGGGTTTAGGTTTTAGGGTTTAGGGTTTAGGGTTTAGGCTTTACAGCTTTAGGCTTCAGGGTTTAGGGTGTCCAGGGTTGAAGGTTTAGAGGGTGAGGGTGATTTTCTGGTTTAGGACCCCAAGCCCGAAACCCCAAATCCCTAACCCCTAACCCCTAAACCCTAAACCCTAAAACCTAAACTCTAAACCCTAAACCCTATGCCCTTAAATTGCAAGTCCATGTTGAAGCCTTGGGCCATCAGCCCAGTATCTCTCAGCCCTGAATTCTGCGGGTTCAGGGTTAGGGTTCCCCTATGGAATATGACAGTGTACACTTTTTTTGGGCTTACGAACTCAGCAACTAAGCCT